ACTGAAGCCGGAACCCATCTCAGTCCCATGTGGGAGTTTCCGAAAATTAGGGTACCTTCTTTTGGGGTCCTTAGAATAAGGATCCTACTATTTAGGGTACTATATTAGGGTCCCCTATTCTCGGAGACCCCCATGTGCTGTCTGGGCATGTTAAGAACTCCAGATTCTGATGCGCGTAGATATTTATTTCCTTAACTTTAAAACATGCACGCAGAACCTGTGGGATGAAATTAGGACTCCGGGCTTAGATCTCAAAGTTTACGGGTGCAGTTTCGGCCTTTGCTTCTGGTACCTTCCTTTAAGGGGGCTGCTTCGACAAGGCCACTATAACGAGACACTAGGTTATCCTAAGGTATCGCACTACCTGCCTCTCAGATTTACAGCGCTGAAGCCTGAACCCGAAACGCCAAACCCCACAGAAGACCCCTAAACCCTAAACCCCACATCCCGAAGATTCCCCGAAGCTATAGAGCCCTGAGCACTTGTAAACAGTAAACCTCGAGACTCGGAACCTACAAGCCCTCAGCCATGAGGGTTTAGGGGTTAGGTTTAGGGTTTCCAGTTCAGGGTAAGGGCTTTGTGTTTAGGGTAACGAATCTCGCGACAGACCCATCCCTCAAACCCCCCGAACCGAAGCCCTCAACCGCGAAATTCGTTGAACCCTGCACAGCCGGGCCTTTGTCTCCATCCTCCACACGTCGATCGCCTGGTGCGATAGGATAGGATCCGGATTTAGGGTGTTGCATGGTGTATCGGAGTAGGGCTTAAGAGTTTCTGGAAAAGGATCCGCTGAGTTCTGTCTGAAAGACCGACCAACACATGTCAGCGATACTGAGTTCACTTGTCCAGTTCGCAAGCCTGTGTTGAAATCTTGTGTTTCCCAAACTGACTAGAGTCTCAGAAATCGATGAGTTCAAACAAACGACCCAATAACTAGAATGGGGTTTCAGGAATATCATACAGTATGCAAATAAACAGCGAGGAATGACATATATCCGCCCCCCATAAACGGACCCAGAAGGGAAGCCTTAAAGGGACCCTGACAGGGACCTTTAAAAGGGACCCTTAACCCCTTTAGAGGTTGCCTGCCTTGGCGCCGCCTCGTAGTCTCTGGGCTCCTTCCAAGAACTCGCCGAGCCTGCGTCTGATTGGGGCTACAGTATGCTTTTCGGGGGTTTAAGGTTTAGGGTTTAGGGTTGAAGCTGTTACAATATCAGGATCCCACGATGTTTACATTCTAGGAGCCCTGAGCATGTTTGAAGCCCGGTTTCGGTTGGCATTCTTTGGGGCTGGTTCGCGACTTGATGCAGGCTGCAGCCGACGGATGCCGGCCTGCCAGGTTGGAGCGCGTTGTTGCTTTTTGGTTTGGGTTCTGTACAACCTGTTCGTTTCTGTAGTGCCCATATACAAAGTCTTAACTGCTTGAAGACGTCGCGGTTTCCTGAGAAACACAAAGCCAACCACACTCCAGGATTCAGGCTTCGGAGATCTGCAAATCGGAGTCGAGGTCGGATTCCAGACGCCAGGATTGGCGGTCCGCAGCTTTGCGGTTTAGGTGCTGGCTTTGGAAGCTAGCAGGGCTTAGGGTTTAGGGTACAAACATGCATAAAGACATCAAGAACTTCGCACGACGCAGAACACAAGTGCAAGTACTCGCGCGAACTGCAGCCAGACTCAGCTAGACTACTCTACTTTATATTATACTGACCTCGCACAAGAACTCTCGTTCTCGGAAACTACAACTGCCAAACTTGGCTTGTTGGAAATTGCAGAGTAGTGACTCTTATCAACGTCGAAGTCAACATATCACCGTTTCCCTCATACACCTCCTCATCACCTCCGCTTCTTCGACCGTGCATGCTTCATATTCGCGCTTTGAGAGGTCAAAGAGCAAATACTTCGACAGTGCAGAAGTTCCCATTCAGAGCCTCGCTGGCTAACATAGGCATATCCTGAATCCCTGCATAGGGTTCTGGAGAAAACAGAGGAACAACTGTGTAAACTGACATTTTCTACTGGGTGGCTTACGGAACCAAGGGAAACATGTTTGTAAATATTCCAGGATCCCATGTTTAAACTTGTAACTCTAAAAAGAATAGCGAACCGAACACTCGATCAATGTGTTTGGAGCTAGTTCTTGAGATCTAGGCCTTTTTAGGGAAACGAATATGTCACTTTTTACACCCTAATTATTTCAGGCAGCCCTCCAGTACTGTTTCAGCAAGCGGCGTAATCTGGCCGTCTCCATTGTCCAGGAACTCGAAGAGACTTAACAAGTCATGATATTCCAACCTTGTGCATTCTGGCTAGGGCTCAGGGCTTTGTAGTGCAGAGTTTGGCGACATAGGTTGAGGGCTTCAGGCTCAATCCATCGAGTTCTGTGTTCTTGGGGCTATAGTAGGCAATAGGGACCTAGCCAATAAGACCACAACTTGGGAGCTGTATGGGCTTCATGTTTTCAGCAAGTTAGCAAAACCTGCAGCTATAAGTTGATACATTTGTGAGGCTGGATGTTCAAAACATATTGGCCAATCGCGGGAAAAAGTCTAGAAATTCGTGCGGCTTTATGCTATGCAAATGCTGCACTCGCAACCTCCGGAGCTTTGAAGCTGGGGTTGGCGTAAGTCGACGGCTTTAAACCAAGTTTCAATCTAACTCGTGCGACCCTACGCCACGCCAACGACGAACTCGCAACCTCCGGAGCTTTGAAGCTGGGGTTCGCGTAAGCCGACGGTTTTAAACCAAGACTTGCGATCCCGTCACTCAAATCAAGCATGCCGTGTGCCGGACAGTCTGCTCCTGATGCTCGGTAGGCATCCTCTCGGTGATAACTGGCATTTCACTCAGGTTCAGCTTGGTGCTCCATCAACGAGCACCACGTGGAAAAGTCTGATGACGAAATGTCTGTCGTGTCAGTGTGTCCAAGTTCTTCATGTTGAGATGGCCCGCGACAACTTGAAAAATGATAGCTCGTAATCTTCAGTGGTGCCCTTCGCAACAACCAGACCATTGCAATCTGGCTGCAAGCAGGCAGTGGCTTGCCCCGGTCCAGAAATCGGGTTGAGACGGACATCGAACTCTAGCTCCAATGCCAAGAAGCCCGCCACTTTCGCGGCAGCAGACGTCAGACAAGAAGTTCAGAAATCAAGACTTCCATATGTTTGCTCAGTCAGGCTGAGCCCTGGGAAGGGGTGGACCGCCATACAACTTGCTGAAAACATCCTGGTGACTCATGGCACATGGTTGCCATGCCACGGTAAGACGCTCGACCTCCTCGGCCCTACACCGCAAAAAGGCGCGAGGAACTTCAAGTAATCTCACGATGCTGCGACAAGTGTCCGTCGCCATGCATTTTCTTGGTTCGAGGTGCGAAGGTCGATCATGGAAAGCCTGTGGGAGGCTTCTGATTGTCCCAATGGGGGGCATCCCGCAATTTCCGGACCAGAAGCCGCTCATGTCAACAGGAAGCGAAGACCTCCTCGCAGAGTCAACTGCAAGCACATGGGGCCGCACCGGCAAAAGTTTTCGCAAAGAGACACGGAGCAAAGGCACCTGATAATGTGCATTACATACCAAAGCAAACAAACAACTAACTAATTGAATCAGTCAATGATTCAATAGATGAGCAGCATGATGAAACTAAGTATGTATGCGTATACATGGTGTACATTATGCATCTACATCTCGTGTATATGTGCATGTATATGTTTTTTCGGGTCCATGGTCAAACTCCCCATCAGCGGGGACCAATAGCCAGGGACTCGAGTGCCCAACAGCCATGGCCACGCCCTGAGCCTGCTGGATGAGCACATGCTTCCAAGAGATTATGAAGGCCATTCGGGCATGCACGAAAGAAGCCGGCAAGTCACGTGCTGCACAGGCATCTGCCTGGGGCCTAAATGAAAGAGAATTCCGCAGTCTCCGAGATAGGTGTGAAGTTGGAGGCCCTCTTCAAGGCTTCAAGATGGGCCCTTGCATGCAAATCCTGAGCGATGTCAAGCAGTGCCCTTACATAATTCACATGGACTTCGTCACCGCGGCCATAACGGATGGCAAGATGACAGTCCAGACGACTGCGGAGCAAGAGGATTTCACCGGCGGCGTAATGGTCATGAAACATTACCACGGGGAAGATGGCTCTTGATACCATGAGTGCGAAAGTATTTACATGATCGGGGGGGCCTGGCCTTTTGAATCTGCCATGCAGGGCATAAAGCTTCTTTCTACCCCATGATGAAAAGGCTCAAACTTGTTGATGTACTGATGTCCCTATATCACCTCGAAGAAGGTGTTTCGGCACCCAGGGTATGTAGCATTATGTAGCTGTGCAGGGATGGCCTCAATTCAGACCCTTGAGGAATATCCCGTACTTTTGTAGGCCTGCTTCGCATCGAACTTTGAGGCGGATTAATTCGGTTTCGCTCCTTGCCGCTTGTGGTCCGAGGTTCCTGGCTACAGTAGTTCGGCGCTAGGGCAATTACTGCACAGGGAGTGAGGGACCCCGTCACCTAATTAGGTGCATGCCACATGGTCTGCGCCCGCGTCAAGCATAGTTGTTAGGGCTAAACCTGAAACTCGCTATGGAAAAGGGAGGTGATCTCCAAGCTAAGCAGGATGCACGGATTCGGGTTTAGGTTTTAGGGTTTAGGGCAAGAGCTGAAGAGCCCTTGGAAAGCGGAAACCTCATAACAGCATGCCCCCAGCAGGGACTACTCCCAAACCCAACCCATATTCATTTTGCTTTCTTCAGTTCTATATTGGCCTGCAGGATCCACGAAACATAGCTTATACTCAAGCACCTACATTGGAGCTTTAGAAGCTTCGGAATGCTCTAAACGCTGCACCCTGAGCACCTGCGACCCATAAAAAAAAAAAAAAAACACTAAAACGCCGCCGTAGCCTGCACCCCTGAAGCCTCCGCCCAAACCCTATAAGCCTCGGTTCAACGCCTTAAGTAACCAGAGAGCTCTAATGCCTTAATGAAGCAGAAGCCGAGCAGCTCCAGCTGACTCATCCAGAACTGGAGCTTTGGCGACTTCACGAGCTTGGAAAACCTGGGAGCTCCATTCTACCGGGCTTCCGGGCAGGGCCTTAAGACCCCATGAGCTCGAAGCCTTTAAGCATTCCTTAGCCCTAAGCCCCAAACCCTAGGTTTATGGTTCGGGGCTGACGGTGCTGGGTTCAGGGCTCCAGGATGAGAGTTGAGGGGAGCCTGTTCTCAAGGGCTTCATGGCTCGAACATAGGGGCCTTGACAGTCAGACTAGGGTTTGGGGACATATCGTGGTAGGTTTACGAAGGACTATGACTATGACTAGTACAATGGATTACGAATTGCTGCTCATTCTGGGTCCTGCAGTAGCGGTTGCAGCTTGATGTCGGCATGGGAAATGTCCAACGAAGGGGCTGAGGTGTTAGCGTTAGCAACAGCAAGCTGTTGAGTTATGTCCCCTTCTCCTCATCCTACAGTGATGAACCCTATAACCTAACTTATTTTAACTACTTCAAGCTTCTAATACATTCCGACAAGCACACGCACACACACACACTTATTGAAGCCAAGGTTTCGGTCGCTAAGCATTCCAGGAGGTACCCTTGTTCACCCGGGGCCGAAGCAAGCTAGACCTGCTGGAGATACTTTAAAGTGGGGTGCAACACCCCAAAATAATCCTAAGCTCAAAGCTCAATAAGGACAAGGTCCTCCCAGATTCTGTGGACCGAGTCACTCCTCGAGGTTGATCGCGCCGTCCCCGGACGAGTCGATCGTCTTAAAGAGCTTCTTCACTTTTCCTTGCGTGTGTTGCTGGACCATAGACTTTAGACAGTTGCGAGGGCTTTGCGCCTGAATGGGGCTTGCACAGATAGGGGTCTGCTGTCTTAGGGCACGTAAGAGCTTTCAACTGTAGAGCAAAGAGTCTTGCTGATTTACTAAACCCTAAACCCTAAACCCAGCCCTACTAACGGGCCATTTCCCGACACACGGCACACCGCATCCACAGAATGCTGCGGCCAGGATGCGATTGTACAGGGCTATGTCCTGAGCTTGGAGCACAGTCCGGACAACGATGCCATCCCTCGAATAAGGAAAGAAACAAGAGCGAACATTGTGTCTATATATATATATATGGAAAAACATGTGTATATATATATATACATTTATTTATACATATTGGGGCTTCAGTGAAAAGGGCAGCCGAGTGTATCAAGATCATGGCATCAGTGGAAGCAGCGGTATGGTTGATGCCACAGCTAGTGTCTTGAACATGAAAATGCGGAGAATTCCTGGCGCTCTAGGTTTCCCGCTGTATCACCTTTGATCTGTGTAGACATTGCCAGCATAAGGTTCATTAAAACCGATGCACAACAGCCACGCAGTTTTGCTCCAGCTAAGGTATACGCCTGAGAACGTGCTGAAATCGTAATCCCTATATAAGCCCCAGAACGAATCACCTCAAGTCCTAAACACTTTCTACTCTACCCAGAACTGCAAACTTCCTTAAATTCTAAAACCTAAACCATGTACAGTGAATTTCCTTAAACCCTAAATCCCAAACCCCACCCCCTGAACTAGCCCCTTGCCCCCTAAACCCTAAACCCNNCCCCCGGCCCCCCCCCCCCTCAAAAAACACAAAAAACATGTACTCTGAACCCTAAGGCGCAGAACTTCCTGAAACCCTAAACCCCTCACCCCAAACTCGAAACTTCAAAAGTTCTCCGGTCGAGAGGCTTTCTCTTTCTGCCGAAACGCCTGGGCTTTCGACGGATAAGGAAGGTTGGAGGTTTAAGGGGTTTAGGGTTTA